CAATCTCCCCCCCTCTCCCAATGACCCCCCCCCACCAACCCCTCTGTCCCTGTCCAGCCCTGCTTCCAGCAGCTGATTCTCCCATCCTCCTTCTCCTGATCTCCCCCAGCCAGGTCCCCCTCCCCCAGTGCAGCCCTGGTTCCGCTGCCTGCCCTCTCCGATCTCCGCCGCTGGACAGACCTGCTGCCCCCAACCCTGCTTCCGCCACCTGCCCGCCCACATGCCCGGATCTCCATGGGACAGCCCCACTCCCCCAGACCTGCTTTCACCGCCCGGATCTCCGCAGAACAGCCCCGCTGTCCCCAGCCCTGCTTTCGCTACCCACTCACCCAGATCTCTGTGGGACAGACCCGCCACTCCCAGCCCTGCTTCCCGGCTCCTCCCAGCCTGCCCCGCTCTGCTCCCCTCCTGGCAGCCATGCTGCGGCCTGGTATTTGTTTTCCCGTGGCCCGGTACCAGGCCGCGGCCCATAGTTTGGGAAACGTTGTTTTATAGCAACGGCACCTTCGGTGCCTCGCACTCCTATCATCAGCTACAGGGAGCATAGAGACCTTGTGATCTCTTTTACCCTTAATTCCCCATTTTTGAGTAATGACAAACCACCTTATTCACCACGATCCAATTACACAGCATCACCTTCCCCTTGCTGGGGATGATGACCTAGGGGTTCTCTCACCACAGCTATCCCCACGCACAAAGGCATCAGGACAGTCGTTTCACGCTGATGAGCCCGACTTCACTAAAGCTGCCATGGCTCCCTGGACACCATATCAATGGATGCTACCACCAACGCCCTACCCCTTGCCCCAATGGCAATTTTGGAACCTATGGCCTCAACAACACAAGAAGAGACCATACAAGATGAAGTACACAGCAAAAGCACTTTGTCCTCTAACCCAATCCCCTCAAACAGGGAGGAGATGAAATGAAGTTGACGAATATCATTCCCTGAATTCGGGTCCAGAGGCATTACTTGACATGAACTCACCATTTGTGATGGACGAGGCCATCATGACACCATCCTCAGCAACCACCCTGGATTTCTCT